TGGAAAACATCACCATAACAATCTTGCAGTAACACTACGGTTATTTAACAAAATCAGTTCGAGAACCTTGATTAGCAAAAACCACTTAACGAGGCAGCAAGTACTAATCAAGTGACACTTGGTTTCTAGAAAAGTTCGGCTATTTAAAGCACTTTGGACTTTAAAAGAATATCATTTTAAACTGGATTAGGTGCGCGTTCCTAATTTGGTCCAATTTAAGTAAAATCCGGTGAATAATAGTTCTCAGAACACCTTTTGAGTTTAGATTTAACAGTAGCGTAGAGCTAAAATCTCTTCAAAGTCAAATTAATTCAACAAACAAAGATTCAATCTTTTTGTCAAACATTTTGGCCTAAGAAGGTTTTATAGTTTCAGAGACAATGATCAATTAATAAATCATAACTTGAACCATTCAACATCAACACTTAAACAATTCAACACTTATAATATAACTTAAACATTCAACATAGAATTCGAATTGAAAATATTATATTTGAATAATGGATATCAAATTCATCAATTGGAAATTAAACAAATTCAAAATCCTAATTAAAAGTTTGAAATAAAATTAGAAGTCAAAGAAACTCCCCTGTGTATTGCTCCTTTGTTCGTTCACTGCCAAAGAAGAGACCAAAGACTACCAATTCAATTGCACTATCCATGGCCTCCATCGCCGGACCCATGTCGCCGTCGCCACCATCGCCGGAGTTGAGTGGCCGAGTGCCGCGCCGGACCTAGGGTCGAAACCCTAGGTCGGCTCTCTCTGTTCCGTTTCCGTCCCTCCTTCCTCGTTCTCCGTATATATCACTTCTTTTTATAATTGAGATTTGAAGAGTTCCAATTGGATTTGGAAAAGGATTCTCTAGTTTCTTGCGCCTTCCGTTGTTGGAGTCTGAGACGGAGTCTCCGTTTCCTTTCCTGCGATGCTTTCTACGGAATGGAGGAGTTTTTACTTTATTTCTTTTTTTTCTTTCCTTTTGATTTTCTCCGCATTGGTTTATGATGGGCCAAATAGATGTCTTGCCTGGGCCTATTCTTCACTTTCTTCCGCGTTACTCCAAAATATATCTAAAAAATATTAATTAAGGAAAATAACACTCTAAATTAATTAATAAATATAAATACGCTCAAAATCATGCATTTTATGTATAAAAAGTAAACAATAGCCTAAAATGCTAAATGTAACCAAATATATTTATTTAAGTATAAAATGCATATAAAACATGTTAAAAGTACTAAGAAATGAGAGAATAAAATATGACATTTTGTGACTCAACACCTTGTCACCTGAGGAAGATGGATGGGATCTTTAAGTTTTTCCCTTGGATCTTGCCAAAATCGAAATAAAATCAAAACTTTTTTCATTGGGAAAGGGGCAGACTATGGATCTAATGCCTAGATGATGGAGGAACGAAAATCTAGATCTGAATCGTTTGGGTGGTACAGGTGCACCACCGCCTATTTGTCGCTGCTAATAACACGCTCGGAAGAAGGCAGGGCGGGGTGGCAAAGAACAAGAGGAAGGGGGTTGTGAAAATAGAAGAAGAAGGGGGTGCCGAAGAAGATGTAAGGTGGGGTGGGGGTTGATGAAGACGAAGAAGAAGGGGTGCGGACTGGGGAGTGGGGAGTGTCTGAGGAAGGTAAAGATTGAAAAAGAAAAAGAAATGGAAGAACAGAAGAACAAGGAAAAAGAAGAAAAAAAGAATGGGGCTGGGGGGTTTGACCGAGAACAAAGGAAAAAGAAAGTTTTAATTCCATTTAAAAGAAATGAGAAGAATCAAATGGGACGACTAAAAAAGGAGAGTCAGATGAAAGATCTGGGACGGAGGAGGGAGTAAAATAAATAATAGGACTAGGAGAGGTTTAGTCATATACGGTCCAGGGCTTCTACATTTTAACCCGTGGCTCCGTCCTTCTTCTCCATCTAGGTTTTTCTGCGTCTGGAATCTAACCTGCGAAGACCAAACTCATCACTCATGACCAGCGACGATTTGTGTCTTTATTCTGCGCTTATGGTTGCAGGATTTGTTTCCCCATCTCTGCCTTGGCATCGTCACGATTCACGAAGGGTTATCTCTTAGAATCCTTTGTATGCCTGCGACTTTGTTTTCCAAACATCGTTCACTGGTACGGGAATTTAACCTACATCTTATCAGTTGTCAATTTCATTTTTCATTTTAATGGTTAGAATGATGGGTTCGATCAATTAGGTTATTATAGAGTCAATTCGTTAGATTAGGTCAATTGAATTACATATTATAGAGTAATATCATCAATTAAGTATGAATTTGTCTACAGATTTTATTTAATTGAATGATATATGTATCTTCCAGTTTACATCTAACTAGGGATGAATATGTCCCTTATTAATTGAAATTGATCATGTATTCTTCAATCTTTATTGTTGGTAAAGAATTGCAAATCTCTCCCTTATAGCCTTGTGTCTTTTTATTTTATTTAGGTGGTTTCTCTTCTCTTTTTTAAGAAAATGGTTTTTTTATTAGGTTGGATGAGGACGTTGTGACTAAAATTTCTCTTATGATTTTTTCTTTTGTGATAGGGTGATGGTAGCTACTATGAAAAGGTTTGGGATTACTGGGTTTCTGCTTGGTCACTGGCAATGTGGGTATTGTTTATATTTTTTCTGTAGTTCTTTTTAGATAGGAACTAGGTGGGAATCGGTGGACTTCGGAGTTCAAACCAGGTGATGACTACACTTCGGACTTCAAAATAGGCGATTCTTTATTTTAAATATTTTCAATTGTGTATTCTTGAGAAATTTGGGGATATGGTGGGGTTTAATTAATAAAAGGACGTAAAGTGTTGCTCCGAAAAAACAACAGTTGCTAAGTTGTTTCTATCTGCTCAATGGATTATACAACTCAACCAATATGGTGGTGGTACCTAGTGCATACAACAATTACCCTTTGTAGGACATATGCATGTACCTTTCATTTTTTTAGTTGTGAATCTCCCACATAATAATCTCTTTATCAATATGTATGATTTAAACGAATGCTGTAAAACTTCATGGTCTTTTGGTTTCTGGCAGAAAGGTAGAAGAACTACTAAGCGCACAAAAGGGTCATCTGTCGAGCTTGCTCCTGTTCTTGCTGCACAACTTGGCGATTGGATTAGTTCTCATCACACACCTGCCTCTAGAAAAACATACCAAAAAAGCAAGGTGTGCATTTATGTACTTCTTAAATTGACTATATGCTGATATTGTTAAACAGATGACACTTAATTAGACAATTAGTTGTAGGATCGACCACCCTTGAGGATGTTGTTTCTACTGGTTGCTTATCAGCTACTCACTTCTTGGGAATGGCTGTTTGGGATGGCCCTAATCCATGTTACTACAGCTGGTATTTTCCAAGACTTTTTAATATGTTTTTTTCCTAATTTTGGAGTATATTTGTGAAGGTTAGAACAGATTACTACAGCTCTAATTGACAAAGACTTCACATATATCTTTGGATTATCTTTGCTTTAAATTTGAATTAATTTACATAGTACACTGGCTGATAAGTCCAATTTCTGACACTTCAGGGATTTTGGGAGCTAAAACGAGAGTTCATCAGTCTGCAATTGAAGTAATCCTGGAAATTTTAATGCACTCAGTGTTAATGATATGTCACATTTATGCTATGCCATTTAGTCTGAAATCTGTTTATGTTCAAGGCTTATGTCAAGGACTTCACATATGTGTTTTGCCTATCTTGAGATTAGGTAGGAGAAGGTTATAACAACTGCATTTTGCTTTAAATTTCAATTGATTTACTCCGTATATAGTACACTATCTGATAAATGCAATTTCTGTCACTTCAGGGATTTTGAGAGTCAAAATGAGAGTTCATCAATCCGCAAGTAATCCTGGAAGTTTTTGATAATGTCACAGTTACGCTAAGCCCTGGAAAATATATTCATGTTCAAGGCTTATGTTTTATTTGGATCAAGTGCAATACCTTGTTGTATCTTTAGTACTTAGTACCCATGATCTTTGTTGTTTGAGAGGGGCTTTGGTTTGGTCCTCCCCTTGTGTATATTTTTTTCATTCTAATAAAAGTTTCTCTCATAAAAAGTTTATATATATATATATATATATATATATATATATATATATATATATATTAATGGTTGTATATTTAATCTCAAAAAAATAATTGAGAAGAACTTTTTATATAATTAATTGTAACTACTATGAGAGGATTTTTTGTCATAATAAGGCCATTTTGATAACGGTAAATATACCCTCATTAAATACTTTTTAATGAGAGAACATGAAGACCGTCATTATTTGTAATTAGCTACGGAAGCTATAATGACGGTCGATGAGAGTAAATTTCCTTTCAATTAAAATGTTTTAATGACGGTTTTTGGTGTTTTAACTACGGATTGTACTCACACTATAGAATATTTTTCTTGTAGTGATTTTTGTTTAATTGAAATTGAAACTTTATCCAATCTCAAAGAGACGGTAGGCTATTTCATATTTTCTCTCTTTTGGAGTAATATTTCATTTTATTTGGTATTAAAGAGATATCCACAAAAACTCATTTACAAGCAACAAATATGTGCATAATTAACCTGCCCGTGCGAAGCACGGGGTAGAACACTAGTGTTTTTTATTTCCCAATGCAACACTTTTAGTCATCATCAATTAGTCATTATTTAAATAAATGTTCACCGTCACAGGATATTATTTCTCCTTCTAGACATTATTAAGTGTTATTTAAGAGATAAAAGGTTTAAGTCTTATGTTGGAAAATGACTTACGTTTTAGTACTATATAGTGTAGATATTTATCATGGTTATTGTTTCTACATTGCATTTCATAGAAATTGGAGAGTTATACTAATTGCGAATACTTTTAACGGTGCAACGAGGATGTAAAAGATATCAGAGCTTGAGGACGGTTAACAATGTTATACATAACTCTTTCCAAGAAGCATGTGAATCATTGAGGTTATTAGCCGATAATAAAGAATTCATTGAAGGAATAAAAGATGGTGCTGAGCTAGAATCTGAAAGTCAATTAAGAAAGTTGTTTATCACATTGTTAGTGACAAATACCATGAGCCGTTCTCAAGTTGTTTGAGAAAAAACATGGGAGTCTTAGTTGATGGAATTTTATTTGATCGAAGAAGAATATTGCATAATCAAGGTATATAATTATTTATTTTTTATTATTTATATCCTTTAATATAATAAAGGAGACTCAGATGCATAGAAATTTTCTACGCGATAATCATGTCTATGTGGCAAAATTTAAACATGTCAGCACGCCACGTAATATTCGAGTAAACTAGTAGAAATAAATTGTACACGATGCACCAGCGGATCTCCCGTTGAAAACAATTGACCGTAGATTTTCTACGCGATAATCACTGGTCTTCAACGAAATTCTTTCTTTCAGATTACAACAATACGAACTCCTATTATGATGATAATATAAAATAATTAAAAATAAATATGAAAAAATATAAATACTATTTAAAAAATAAATATAATATTTTTCATTTAATTTAAATAGAAAGAAGAAAAGGAATAATTCAACAAAAAAGGATAAAAAAGGTAAGTACTTTAAATATTTTTTTATCTTAATATATTTAATTTTGTTTTATTGTTTTAAGGTAATTTTGAATTATTTAAAATAACAAAATCAAACGGGATATTTTAGTGACCAGAATTTTTGTATTTAAAATTTATATGGTTGCTTTTTAATGAGCATTGAAAAATTTTCTTATCTTCATATTTAAATCGTTAGTATAGATAAATTAAATTATGTTATAAAAATAAAGTTTTATACAAAATTTAAAATTAGATGTCAATTTTTGAAGGATTTAACAAAATCTCCATGTGAAATTTAGACAGTAATTTCTTCCTTTGAAATTTTCACACCTCTTTGATCAACCTTGCCTAGCTAATCTCAGCCTTAGAATGCGCAGACTACGAACAAACAACAGAGGGTTAGATTGATCCATCAACCATGCACGAGAGATATCGAATTTGGTGTATCCATCAATCATGCAAGAGAGATATCAAATTCAGTGTGTCCATCAATAATTGGGAAAAAAGTTTGAAATTTGGGAAAAAGCAACAAACCTAATTTCTTTCGTAGCGTATCACTCAATTCAGTAAAATAAGAAAGTTCAACTCACTAATATGATGATCAAGTTCATGATTGGTTTAGTTTAAATCCATGAGAGAGTGCAGTTATAGAAATTAAGAAATGATCTTAGTGACTCACAAGTAGTGTAACAATGTGCGAAGAAGATCTAAGACCATAACAACATTTTATATCTATGGGAATCAGAGAGCCTAGTGATGCAAAACACTCAGTAATTGAGTATCCATTGAAATAGCAACCTGTTAATATATATATATATATATATATATATATATATAGGGATTGACTCCAGTGAGATGACACCTTACGGTGCGATGACATGCTTCGGTCCAATGACGCAAAGCTCACCACACCACACTACAAAGCTCACCAATGGACAATGCAAAGCTCACCTGGAAATAAAGCAAAGCTCACCACTTTGAACACCAAAACTCACTTTTTTTTAAATTTTGAAAATTAAAAAATTAATTAAAAATAAAATAGCAACACCGGTCAACCACCGGTCAACGGCGGCCGCAGGCGGCGGAGCAGCGGTGGTGACCGGCGACCGGAGTATGGCGGCGGCAAGGACCGGCGACTGGCGGCGGCGACCGGCGACCGGCGGCGCCGGTCGGACTTGCAGCGGGAGGCGGCGGTCAATGCTGGAGTCAACGGTCAAAGTCTAGTCAGCACCCCTTCCTTTGATTTTATTTTTTCAAAAAAAATTCAAAGTGTTGAAAAAAATATTGTGAGCTTTGCCTTACAGTTTGATGCTTTATAGTTGTGCTTGGTGAGCTTTGCAGTGGGCAGTGGTGAGCTTTGCGTCATCTGACCGAAGCATGTCATCGCACCATAAGGTGTCATCTCACTGGAGTCAATCTCATATATATATATATATGTATATAAATTTTTTTCCTATCTCTTAGCAGCGGAGCCTCTTTACACCATGCTGGCGAGCTCCTCCGGGGGAAACTCCGGCCAGCCTTCCTCTACTTCCAAGCCACCAACACATCCTCCTTCAACCAGCAACCAGCAACCTGCAAAAAAAGCCAACTCTCCATCAACAATTCATGCTCAGAAACCTCCCTTCACACCATATCCACCACAAAGGAAAAGCTACGCAGCAGCAACCATTGCAACCTCACAACAGGTAATTGAAATTCATACTCATGCCTCTCCGGTTGAAAAGCTAAAAGGCCTTCCCTGCGTGTCTTTCACACAGGAAGAAGTTAACCTTTTAGCCAGCAGATTTTCCAGGGCCTTGGTAGGTTCTTTCTTTTTTGG